CTCGACGAAAATTTGTATTGAAACCACCGCGTATATCGAAGGATGACGAGCGAAACGCTTTTTATCTTAAGTAAATTCATACCTATAAATGTGACACGAATTATTTGTACAACATTTGCGGTTATCTGCCCGTTTCGAATTGGATGGAATTCACGAGAGTTAAGGCTCGTCTGTTAGTCATTTCAGTGTATTCGAAAATCCAAAATTCGATTTCATCGAAATCGAGTCGATCAGTTCTCGTTTGTTCCGACGGCGAAAACTTTCTCTGACAGAAGAATTAATTCAATGCCAAGAAGAATCTTATCGTTGAGGAAACAACCTCGACAAAATTTATCTTGTATTTCTTTCACGATTACGCAACGCGTTAACAGAGAAGATTATTATTCATTAAGTAGTCGATGATCGATCAGAGACGAGGAAATAGGAAATTGAAAGATTATCGTGATCTTGATTGTTTTTTGCTATCTCGATAAATCTTTTGTAAACATTTTGTCTCTCTCTCTCTCTCTCTCTCTCTCTCTCTCTCTCTCTCTGTCGTTTTAAGAAAGTGGAAATACTTCAAGTGGTCCTCTCGGAGCCTTAACTCTGTAGAAACATGAAACAGTACTATACACTTAATACTCTCGTGGTATTGCACTAGAACATGATTTAATTAAATATTGCTCTTTCCGTGACCACCGTTGCGGTGTTATTCATATTAGTGGCAGTGCCCAATTACTGTTGTTCTTTTCCAGCTTCCTACCTCGAACGGGGCGAGTTCTATCGAGCCAACGCGATGACAGTTTTCATGTTTCTCATTTCTTCCTTCTCTCTTATTATCTACGGATCAACGGTACGGCCAGTCGCTCGGCACTATTAAAGAAAGAAGAGACATCAGTTAAAACGCAAAAGGCGACGTCACTCGTTCCTCAAGATTTAGAAAAATCACACACGGCCGATTCTCCTCTGAATTATATTTCTGAAATTTCTTCCTTTACGTTGTGGAAAGCACGTGATGCAAGTGAGTGAAAAAGTGTCGAAAACTCAGAGATTTCAAGTTTTTGTGTTTTTATTTCTCCCCCCCCCTCTCCCCCCCTCCCCTCGGAGACTATTTTAATTTCGACTGCAGGTAAATTCCGAGAATCATTTTGGGAAATTAATTCAATTAAGGAATGTGTATTGCTTTTCTTCTCTAACGTTTAACGTTTGACGTATATGTTCAGATATCAATCAATGATGGATGATGGGATATCGGGATGAGTAAAAGCAACGTTTTTACTTCAAAGGGGGATGTAACTGAATGCGCGAAAAACGACAGAAACAGAAGCAAATGTATTCTATACGGCAAAGAACGTATTTACCGATTACTGTTACCTTCATTCTCTTTGCATTAAATGAGGCGCAACGTGGAAAGGTGGCTCAAGTTGTCGAGTCAACGATGTCAGCTATAATTTTGCTTTATTATTCATACTTCAAATTAGTTTAATTTAAAAATTACAGAGATCATGTTTTCGTTCAGAGAGATTGTCACCAATGACAAAAAAGAAAGAAAGAAAAACAAGAATATACTTGCGAACGTGTATAGTATACGCCTACAATATAATTAAAAAAAGAAAGAAAAAAAAATAGAAGATAAAAGAAAATTCGAGATAGAGAAACTAAAATATAATGGATAGCAAAGTAGATTATAGGGGAGGGGAAAAAAGAAAAAAAAAAAAAAAAGTAAGTGAAGAGGATCGATGTTGCGGTGATAGTGGTAAAGTAATGATGGACGAGGTCGATCGCCGTTATTAAGAAAAGTAAAAATTATCTTCACTTCTGTATAAAAAATTTCTTTCATTGACGATCTCTTTCTTCTTCTTCTTCTTTTTCTTCTTCCTCTTCTTCTTCTTCTTCTTTTTCTTCTTCTTCTTTTTCCTATGATTTAAGTAAAATTTGTCGTTCCCTTACGTATTATATATCGAATCAGACATTCGTTCGTCATTTTTTTTTTCCCATTTATATAAATAGACGTGCATTTATCGATACTTTTAAAAATTTGCTTCTTACTTCGTTTACAAAAATAAAATAAAACGCGGGACAATTCATCCTATCTATGAATGAAAAATAAAATTTCCTATCTAATCGAGGCTAAAGATGCTCATTAGAGTCTTAACTAAAGTGTAAAAGAGAAAGAGGTTTTTCTTCCGCGAGTTGTCGAAACGATTCTCGAAGAATCTTCCTGTCGACGCCAAGAATCTTTCGGTCGATTTTTCTTTCATCCCCCTTTCTTACGTATTTACTATTTTCCTAACCACTTTATTTCCTCTTTTTTCCTTTTTTTACCCATTTTCTCAACTTTATTCTTTCGAAAATGCACAAGGAGAAAGAAACGGTGCCATTAACGATCGATACACGGGACACGGACGCATCTTCGATGCGTTACTACGTTACACATCGTCATTTACGTTCCTCGATCTTCCAGGAAACGGTCGGTGACGTTCGAAATCATTCAACTGCAAAAAAAGAGACTTGACGTCGTACCTTTCCATTCACACTTGTGTACTTCGCTCCTTTTAATTAAAAGTCGTCATCACTTCCTCTCTCGCGCACGCGTCATACTTCCTCTCTCTATTCGGTATTTCTCTCTCTCTCTCTCTCTCTCTCGCGTTCTTTCTCACGTTCTTCCTCTCTATCAGACACATTAACTAAAGTTAGAAAGTTATTATATATCTATGTGTATTCCCATTCAATGGGATCGATCCAGCTTTCCTTGCGCGAAATTAGCGAAGATAGAAAGCGATTATCGGCCGTCCCTAGGTCTGATGGTCCGATGGTCGTTCGAGATCGATGCCACTGTCGACGCGACGGTCGTACGTCGACGATGCACGTTATGGAGATCCTGTTCCAGCTTGTCGAGGGTAGCCAGCCCGTGAACGCATACGACACTCTGTGGATGAGGATGACAGGGATGCTGGTGCTGAAGCACGAGGGTTGTTGTCGTCGTCGGTGGAGGAGGCGGTGGAGGCGGTGGAGGATGAGGAAGGGAAGTGAGCCACGTCACGCCTGGCTCCGCTCTGTGTCATTTGCCGTTTTGCTGTAGCGCCGCGTTGATTTGTGCCCACAGTTCTTTGGTACAGGATTGAGATCTACAAATGGGAATTATGTTTCCAATATTAGTTACCTGTTTCATGACACTGATTCATGACTACCAGACTGCAGACATTATATATTTAAATATGGACATTGTCATTTCCAATCTCTAATTTATGTATCCGTATGACATTTAATCAGACATAAATGCTAACATAAATATAATAGCGCACACATATCTTTATAGCTATTCTATCTCATAATATTTACTATGTTCCGATTGATCCGCTGGTGATTACTATAAAGTTCGCAAGTTTCTTAAATTATAGTCCTCTGGTATAAGACAATACCTTTTAATGGACTGAAGTCGTTCCTTGAACTGAACGTGGCCCTCCGGAGTGATGTGAAACGCTGCTCTAGCGGCGCATACTACGTTGACGAAGTCTTCGTATTCACCGGTTGTTAAATGATATAATTTCTGATGTATACACTGAATATACCTGTAATTTGTAATTGAAACATTGAAATAAATTAGTGATAGCTTAAAAAAACAATAATAATAATAAATTATAGAAAGTAAGAATTTGATGAAACTGACATTTGTTGACACTTATGGACGAGAGGTGCCAAGAGAGCAGATCTCAAGTGTTGAAGTACAAGAGCCCGGTTGTTTCTAGCCAGATAGAGCGCTGCTTCCAATGCAACGTCGTGAAGGATAAATGGACTAACGATGCTGTTCACTGTACAGATGCAAAGCTGATGGAGGTACTGCGTACCGAGACGCTTCGACACTCTCAACAGCCATTTCACGTCTTCCCCGTAAGGTGGATTCCGCGCGTATTTCGCTTGAGGTCTGTCATCGTGCACCCGACGAGCCAAAGTCTCCAATGCTAACATTCCTACACGGTACGCAGCGACCAGAGCACGGAGCTGCTGTTGGCTGAAGGGTTGTGTTTGCCTGTGAACCTGTATATAAAAAACAAGCATGTATAACTATTTAAAAAAATTATACATGATATTAATGAATGCAAAGTATTATGTCAAAATAGTATTTAAAAAGTATTAAAAGTTATAAGAAAATAACTAAATACTAAATATTAGACTAGCCTTTGAATTTAAGGAGTTTATCCTTGGAGGATGAAAAAGAGAAAAATTACCTGAGGCTGTGTTCTTACAGTGGATATTATGGGCTGTGCTTGAACGAGAGCAGATCCAGGCATGTTGTTCTGGCCAGGAATAGGTCCTGTCACTCCAGCTTGAACCTGAAAAAACATCATACCAAGGTTGAATATTGTCCTATAACTAACTACAGTGAAAAATGGATCAGAGATACCTACATTGACTGGCATAGGCTGTTGCATGGTGAACAAATGATGAGTTCCCGGTGGCGGTGGTGGTTGCGGCGTGTAATATTGCGGCAGCGTAGGCGGCTGTGTAGGTTGTGACGGATGGTGGGGATGTTGCGGATGCTGTGGATGTTGCGGATGTTGTGGATGCTGCGGATGTTGCGGATGCTGCGGATGGCCCGGATGAGGCGGGAATGCCGCATGATACATTTGCATGTGCGGTGGTGCTGGTGGTAGAGTTACCCTATGTGATGGCATTGGTCCACCAAAGGTTGGAATCGAATGGTGAGGATGCACGAAACTGTAAGGACTAACTGCATACGGCATACCAACTCCTGCAATTCAGAAATGCAATAGAAGTTTATAAAAATGCGTGAACAGACAAATCAAACTCACCTAGAGGAGCTAACGTAGTTATAGTTGGATGCGTAGGATATGGTTGAGGAGGAGGTTGTGTACTGGTCACGACAACTGCTTGAGCTGGCCCAGGGATCATTTGCCCATTAGACATATCTACTGGAGGACCAGGTTCCACCAGAAGCACTCCATTGAGATCCAGTTGTAGAGGATCGTGTGGCATATCGTCTTGTTGTTCTCCACCAGGGGTATGCTAAGTCACAATTGAATTAGTCAATTCTTCTTTTATGTAACATTTACTTTTATACTTAGAGGCACTTACTCTGAGATACAGCTCGTACCAATATTTGGCCACCTGAAACAGTACTTCTGGGTAAACGCCACCTCCTTTCGCGGTGTTCTCCACTGTGATGCAAGCCTTTTCCAACATCGAATCGCTTTGTTCTTTGCACTGTGACAACACAATCAAGATAATTAAATATTTTCTTTTAGTAAAAATAAATTATAATTTTTATCAGATATTGAAGTAACTTACCTGCAAAATGGCTCTCTGTACTTCGTTGGGATTGAGTGCATGAGCGTGCGGTAGACAAGACAAAGCGAGTTCTGCTGCTGACCGAACCATGACAGGATCGCTCCCTCTGGACGATTTGTCGGCTATGCCAACAGCCTCGGGTGGCGTCAAGTGTCCCTCCCAACTTTCGATAAGGAACGAAATCGCTGATGCTCCTATCTCCATCGCTTGACCAGTGATCCAAGATACGTGACTCGAGTAGGTGCGACTAAGCCAATTGGGAGTGACGCAGTTATGAAGCCCAAGAGCATAGAGACCAAGTTGAAAAGCGCACATGTGGAGAGCTTTGTGTGGCCCGTGATGATTCTGACTCGTGGACGCTTGCGTAAACAAAGAAGTAGAACTGTTGCCTCCAGCCTTTGTGAGAACAGTCTTTGCCAGCTCACACATGAAGTGCGCGCCCGCTTCTGATGGTTGGTTGGGAATTGATGGGTATACCCTCTTGCTCTTGTATCTGTAATAAAATTTTGTAGAATTCTACAATATTGCTTGAAGAACCATTCAAGTATGACTTGGGACTAGATAGAAAACAATTGTTACTGGACTATACTGATTACTGTACTATAACTTGTTTATTGAACAGTGTGAATATGCGTTGTTTGTGTATGTATGACTGGAGGAGTCGTCGTTATTATAGAACCGATTTCCCCCACTACCTACGAGTCTGTTTTATATGAATTGACTAACTGGTGCTTATTCTAATTAACATCTAAAAGTTTACTATTTAAAAAAAGTTACAGACCTTGTTTCTTTTGTTCTAGTAGGCACAGGTTGTTGAACTATCTGCGTCTGAACGGTGAGTGTATTCATGCCAGATTCCAATTCTGCACTGGTACTGCTATGTGGTCTGCTGCTCGTACCAACGATACTATCGCCATTTCCAGCATCTGTACCAGCAAGAGGGGAAGAGCACTCTTCGTCATGAAGGTATCTTGTTATCTAAAACAAATGTAATTTATTCCTCAACTATGAATATTAAAATTATTCCTAACATGAATATTAAAAAGAGTTTTCCTTACCTCGCTCTTAGTTGGAGGGTTAGAGGTGTAGTAGCTGCTAAGAATTGGCGACTTGATCAACTGATGAACGTCTCGATCCAACAATTTATCCATGATCCTTGCTACCTTTATAGGATCATCTTTATAATGAACAAGCAATGTAATAGCCAAATCTCCCCTAAAATAATTGAACAGTTCTCACTTTAGTCATGAAATTAATAAAATTTTTAAAAATAAATAAGAATAATCAAAGGTATACCTCTGCCGTCTAGTTCCCTCGCAAAGGAGAGGATGATCAGCTTCACTCACGTTTGCCTTCAGACCCAAAGCAGCGACAGCCGCATCGAAGCCAAGGTCCTCGTCAACGTCTGAGGACAGGTGTTTTAGTCCTGCGAATCATTCCACAATCTTTTACCTTCCACCTACACTATTTAATCATTAACTCTTTCTTGTCTGAAAGAAGATATTCTTCATCCTCGATTCGAATCGCGCAAACTCTCTTTACTCGACCAAATTTCAGAGAAGAAGATAAGTATGAAAAAAAAAAAATATGCATACTTGACATATTAAGGGCGTCAAAAACGAAGCTGGCCAACATGATCGGGAGTAGTGCGTGACCTCTGGATCTTAGTACTCCATCTCTCAACTGCTCCGCTCTTTGACGAACCATCGCCAGTTCGGCCGGTCCGAGTGGAATTTTCTTTAATAATCCGACCAACTCGCTCTCCTGATGAGCCAATTTAACCTAGGAGGCCAATCATATTGTAAAGCATTCTTTGATTTTGTTGTCATGTTAATTTATCAGTCAAAAAATGTATAAAAAATGTAATAAACACTCACAGCCTAGTCGTTAATTAACTTATCTTATCAGTGCGTAAATTTACCTCCAAAGGTTTCGTGTTGGCGGGTGGTCTAGCCATCTCCAATCCGAACAAGCCAACCCTGAACGCCAGGTTATAGTACTCTGAATTCTCCGCGAGGACCGTACACAGGAAGCAACATTTGGCCAAGGTGGCGGATGCAAGGCACGTGAGCTGATGGGACGCCGGGTTCACTTGTTGCTAAAACATTGTCGTTGTATTTGTTACGCACTGACTAGCTCTGATCAATTGGAACAGGGCCTTACTGAATTGAACAAACGAAACCAAGTCTTTCCAATGAATCTACCTTCTTCTTTTTCCCTTTCACCGGCGCCGGGGGTTCGTCGATCATAAGATTAGGGGGATTGGCCAACAATTCCTCGCCGAGTTGAACGCCCAGGATACAAGCTTCCCTCGTGTGGCCATGAGCATAGAGTCCCTCTGCCCTGGCGAACAGGATGTCCCATGGGTCTTCTGTTTTCATCAGATTGCCCAACACTGTGCTGGCGTTCGCAGTGGACGTCGATTGCGATTCGTTCTTGGAGTCCTTCGAACCGCCGTTTCCATTCACCACAGCTTTAGGATCATAATAATAAACGTGATACTCGTCACCAGACGGGCTATCGCTACTCGACGAAGAACTCTCGTCCTTGGATGGCCTTCTGGATGGATCCTTCTCCTGGTCGGATTCTTGCTCGCTCTTGGAACTGTTCCCTTTAGGCAATACCGTTCGCGATTTCTCACGATAGTCGAGATTCGTCCTGCTGTACTTCGCATCGCAGGCAGCTTTATTATTGCTACTATCACTACTATCACTATGGGTCTCGGACGAGGCGTTTGAGCGGTGCTTGTCCGAGTCTTGAGCGTTCTTCAGACTGACATTACTATTTGAGGATGACTCGCTGCCGCCACCTTCCTGCAATTTTGCGTTGATCTATAGTTAGACTGTACAACGAAGCACATAACGAGGAAAAATTGTTAACGATATTTAAAGCAACGAAAGCGTACTTTAACAAACTTGGCCTCTACTTTTTGCCCCCCAAAGATTTCACATTCTGTAGATGAGAAAGTACTTACTTCTTTCTCGGAAAGTAAACTCAAACGTCTCTAAAAACATTTCTTTCAAACTTCATCCACTCGCAGAAGAGATTGAAAATCTTCTATTAATGCCTGTCATGATTTTTTGTTACGAAATTTAAATTATCGACAATCTTTCACTGAGTTCAATATCCTCGCTCGATGTTATTATATTTTTAATAAATCGAGTCGTACGTTCTTATCGTTTCGCTACGATTTAAATATAAATTATTTTCTTGGCACATACCTGCGAGTCTGTGTCCCCGCAATTATTTAATTGAGCGCAAGATCTTCTAACGAGAACTACTTGAGGCTCGGAAATATCGGGCATATCGGTCTCATTCTCGCAGAAACCTTCTGAGCTAACGCTACTTCGGTTCCCATCGCCGCCACCGCTTCGTGAACATAATCCTGAACACTCTCGCGAGTTCAACCGTCTTCTGTCCATATAACTGAACTCTACCAGGCCTAAACTCAACGGTCGTCGACCGTGGTGATGGGAAACAGGCGGCTGACAATTTAACACGGCTGCACTTGAATTCACCTGCGATTCAAATCATTCAATATATTTATACGGAAATATATTATAATTAGTTATGTGAAACATGTATGTACAAAAATGACTGATACAAGGATTTTATATTCACTAATTATATCGTAATATATTAAAGTGACATATTATAATATATTACTTTTTCACTCTGATATTAAATTAATGAATGACTTCATAAACTACTGTAACTCAATTTCATATTTACACTTGAAGGAGTATATGTATGAAAAATATTATAGATTTAAGAATTTATTTTTGTTTTACGTTAGGCCAAGAGAAAAAAGGAAAAGTATATAATAGTATAACAATTCGTTTAAAAAAGTATATTGACTTCTAATGAAACTACTGTAATCATATTTACACTTAAAGGAGTATATGTATGAAAAATATTATAGATTTAAGAATTTATTTCTGTTTTACGTTAGGCCAAGAGAAAAAAGGAAAAGTATATAATAGTATAACAATTCGTTTAAAGAAGTATATTAACTTCTAATGAAACTACTGTAACTCAATTTCATATTTACACTTGAAGTAGTATATGTATGAAAAATATTATAGATTTAAGAATTTATTTCTGTTTTACATTAGGCCAAGAGAAAAAAGGAAAAGTATATAATAGTATAGCAATTCTTTTACGTTTAAAGAAGTACATGATGTCAAAAGGGACGATCCTTGCGAAGTTTAGTTTTATTCGAAGGCGACGACAGTTTCATTGGAAAAAATGGGTTGGATTAATAAACTGACCTGGTTCACCTCGGTCCTGGTATCGCCGGCATGCCGAAAGCAGGTGAACGGACAATGATACATGGGATTGCTCCCGGCGGTGTAAGTGATACCAGGCAAGGTATATTCCTCCCAATCTAGATAGCACGCTTCGAGGGCTGATTTAAAGCCGGTGAAGACGGCCAAGTCATTCTTCAATGAATCCTTGTGACCACCGCCATTATTTCTGTTGTGTGAATTGTGCGTCACCGAGCTGCCCCGACTTTTCGTCACCTTAACAAAGAATAAAGAGTTTAGTTAAGTACCTAAGTCACCTCAGTTTGAACGCAGACTTTACTCTTTAGAATTAATGAATTTTTATTTCTAACGTGGAAAGATCAGAAATTATACAATGTAATATTTTACTCTTCATTGTTTCATGATTTATCAGAATATTTATATTCTATTTAATTTCACTGCTTAATTTCAAATCTGAAATTAAGTGAAACGAACTGTTTTCAGTCAGACATAAAATAACTTGTAACTTATCAGCTCTTTAACCTACTAATAATTTACTAACTTTTTTAATGTACTTCCTAAATAGAGGAGCTGCAACAAGAAGATACCTCCTCTTTCTAATAATTGTAACATTAACAAACTTTCACTTGATGTTAACTCCTCTTTTAAAACATCATTTGCTGTTTCTCAAATAAAATAAATTTTAGCTAGTTTTTCTTCTTGCTGCAAAACCCGGTCGACTATCAACTCTGACACACTATACCTTATCGATGATCTTCATGTGCCAAGCAGTAAACTGACCATGAAGCATATCTCGTTCGGCAGGCGATAATCCAGGATTCAAGGCAGCCAGCCGCCATAGAACGACAATCTCGTCGCAGAGAGAGGAACAAGCGTGCTGCGAGGCGTGCACGTTGCTGTTCATGTTGTGCTTACCGCCATATCCGGTCCCGTTCAACAAAGCTACCTTTGTGTTGAACCACCAGACGAGGATCTGCTCGCAGGCCATACACTCCTCCGTGATGATCTCCAACAACGGTATGGCGTTGCGATCAGTCCTCTTGAACATCTCGCGAACAATCGACAGCAAGTTCCACATGCCTTCCGGTTCACGGCCACGCAACGGTCGCAGCAACGAGGACCACTCGGCAGCTGCAGGAGGCGCAGTGGTGCTCAGGTAATTAACATCACTGTAATTAGACATGTACCATGTTGAATTTTAATGGCGATATATGCGGGGATGACGCAGAGAAAGAATTTGATAATTTGGCGGTTTGATAATCTAGTAATCTCGTCTGGTAATCTGAGGATTTGGGAGCTTGACAATTTAGTAACTTAGTAGCTTGGAAATTTGGCAATTCGGTGGCAACTCGGTAACTTTGAAACTTTTGAGAATTTATTAATTTAGAAATTTTGCTGGTTTGGTAAGTCGGAAATTTAGGAATTTCGGTAATTTTGCTAATTTGGTAATGCCAGAATTCATTAATTCAGAAACATGGTGATTTGATAAACTGGGTGACGTATAAAATCAGTCTAGGAATAAGTCTAGAATAAAATAGCCATGAACTCAATTCACTCGCAGCACAAATTCCGAGTGCATTCTGAACATTAGTTAGTATACTTTGGCGACTGGATTTCGAATTCTATCATATCCACTATAGAATCCGGGAATGAAATTGAACAGTCGATAATCTACTGACAGCAATGAAAAATGGTAAATTTGTGTAATGAAGTAACGAACAATAATAAACAATAATGACCTAAAGACGATCGGCGCGGGCACGCAGAATTTAATGAGGATCTTTTTGATGTTATCGTGCAGTGTCTTCTCATCGAGGTACCAAGATGTTTGATCGTGGGCCGAGGCGCCAGCCGTGGGATCCGGGGCGCCACAATAACTGTTGATGGTACTCGGCTGAACCGACAACAGCTCGTCCAACAGTCGTTGGGCAGTGGGCAAAATCTGCTGTGGTAGCTCGCTGATGAGATATTGCGCGAACTTCTGCAGTTGTTCCCGGTGTAAACGTGACAAGGATTCGCTAACTGGAGCTCTCAGGCACACCTGCGTTGGCTGGATGCAAACAATGAAGAAGAACTCTTGTGATCAAGTCAATTAATGCCTCGTATAAACAATCAACTTTCTTAAATCATTCGAATAGATCAGTTTCGGTCGTTCCTTGAAGTATCAATGCCATTTTTTTCAATGAATTAGTTTGGTTAGCCTATTGGTGAACTTGAAATTAAAGGGGAAAAAAAAGAAAAGAAAAATTATAATAATATCCACGTAGCTATCCAAACTATTGAAAAGAATAATATTAACATTTTAAACGAACGACCAAACAAATTTCTTTAAATGATCTAAAAAAAAAAAATTTGATTGGTTGTACAAAGAATTAATTGGCGTGATCGCAAGAGCTAAATTTCATTGTTCTTGGTATTTTACATACTTATGTACATTATATACATTCTACACAATTTCATAAAATCTAATAACGTACAATAGTTACGTATTTATTTAATAATTAAATATATATATATATATATACAGGGATATATTAAAGTTTTATTATTACGTTCGGCGTTTTCTTTTCTTTTGAAGTAACTTTATTTACCATGTGTATCCTGTGAAGACAAACAGCGACCACATGAGCGCACCAATAGGCCTTAGAAGAACAAGTACAGTTGCATGATGTGATTTTCCGTCGATCGAACGTCACAGCCACATTGAACTGCGATCTGACGCCGTTCATCACCCCCTGTGAGTTCACTGTGGCGCTCAAGTGGAACCCTGCGATAAAAAGAAATGAATTAAAGCAGAAACGAAGTAAAAATATTTCTAAAATCTTTTCACCAATAATTACTATATTTTTATACTTATATTTCGATGCCGAATGATATTATCTTCTTGTAACGTTGACTCCTTCGAGGGAACGTCGTACTTTTTACAAATTATTGTCTGACAAAATTTCAGTCGTCACGTTCCCAAACAAATTTCTTGAAATTTCCTAGTTACTAACAACGTTACTAATAAAGGAAAAAAAAGAGGAAAAATCATTTCTTTCACAGGACAGAAAAAAAAAAAAAGAAAAACATACTTAAACTTAAATTTAAATTCGTCCGTAATAAAATTGGAGATGTTCCTCCGTCGATCGAGAGTACATTTTGAAACAACGAGCAAGAAAATAACACAGCGACGAGAAGTTGAATACCGAGGGTATTCCAAGCGAAGCAGAGAGATAAAGACATCATTTCGAGTGCATTAAGAAACTTAACGCCTAGGGCCGTGGATAGCCAACAAACGAAAGACAAAGAGGAAGAGGCTGGGTCTCTGTATCTGGAGCGCAGCGCAAATTACCTGAAGGAAATTAACCAACCAGGAACAGCTTGATCAAACAATGAAATTAAGGATTAAATTCCAACGCTTCGTCGTGGATCCTTCGAGCGGCTCGATTCGCCAGTCGGATACGAGGCTTCCTCAAGGCACTCCCTTGTTTGTCAGATTATTTTCTGAATAGGATGAAGGGATGAAGTGCAGGCTTAAACGGAAGTAACTCGAGAACTTTGTTTAGAACGCCTTGGCAAATTTTGGAGTCGTCGTAATTGAAGTTACCAGCTATTCGAAATATTCTATTACAGTACAGTAAGTAATATTAAATTTAGTGAATTAAAGCATGGAGTTAAAAGTGAACATTTCTCGGATCATTTTGTCGAGTTCGAGAATTTTGGAAGACCGTGAGGTCTCCGAATTCTGTACTTCTCGAACCAGGGATTTTGAGGAATCACAATTGTGAAAGAATTTCTCGTAAATTGCTACATTGCTCGTATAATTCGATAGAAATTCATGTACGTTCGTAACTAACTATTTCAAGTTTTAACTGAAGAAAGAATTCAACTGATTAATTAACCTTTCTTCTTCCCGAAGAGATCCAATATTGCAATATAATAAATATAATAAATTGTACAATATAAATACATAAACATAATACAATACTCTCTGCTACACCGTGTTTTTATTTTGTGCTTTATTCAATTATTCAAGGAACAAATGACACGATTAATTTGAAACACATTAATTTATCGATCGTATTTGGCCTAACATTGCGATAGAGTAAGAACAATGAAGATGGAAAGTCAATTTCCCTAACGCGGCTGCGCGGCAGTAGTATGAAACAGAAATGAACAGACATTCAGTAGTGTGGTTATAATTATAGCGATCCAGCACGAAACTGCGATCTCGACATTCCAATTTCACGTTGCAAGTTTTAACTCTTTATTAGTCCCGCTAAATCATAGATAACTTAAAATGATTTAGATTATTTTCGTTCGTATTCTATATCTCGCGGGATTGATTTACCAGGTTATTAGTTTGAATTGAAATTTAGTATAAAATTGCCTGAAGCTAAGGAGGCCCAAATAACAATTTAAAGTTAGAATTTGGGAATTTCTTAATTTAACTTTGTCACCAATCTATATATATGTTGATAACTTCTCAGTCAGCACGATATTTAATGTTATTCAGAACCAAGGTAAAGTTTTTCCTGGGATTTTTAATTTAATTTTATCAATAGATTCTTATTCGACTGAAATTTTATTCCATCAAATCCATATTTTGTCAAAATGACGAATAAAATGAAAGAAATGAAATCTAGATAGAAATTTTCTTCGCCTACTGACAATAAGTATCCTAATATATGTCATAATTAATTTCATCTTGCATTGCATGTATCTTACAAATTTCTGCACCCTCGTATCTCCAAAAAAAAAAAAAAAAAAAATGCATAAAAATCGTAAAAATGTCTGGTTATTGACAAAATTTTGACGAAGAATAGTTTTGTAAAGGGTAATTATTTTTTAATTTATAGATCACTGACCGATTTGTAGAGGATCCTTGACGCTCCTCGAGCGGAAGAAGTGTTCGCCACGTTGGAATTCGTCGGCGCTTCCGTTCGCCAGGCAAGAGTAGAGCCTGATGTCCTCCTCATTGTCCGGGAAACTCCAGAACGCTATTCTGAGCTGCAGCTGCTCCGGAACCGGTGGATAAACGTGTTCCACCAGCTCGAACGGGATATGAGAGGCGACGCATCGCGCGGCAAGTTCGCACAGTGTCGGAACTGCTTGTCCATCTGTAACGGGACATTTTTTTAAGATGTCGATGAACTTTGTACTTTTTCGTCGCTGGTATTGTGTATTTTCGTACTTCGATCTAAAAATATCTGGAGTGACATAAATAATAACGACGTACATATTTTCAAAGGGCACACTAGCAGAGATTTATTCGGAGTATTTTCATAATTATATAAGGGAATAAATTTCTTGAGACGATAACAAACGATATATGCACTTTATATGACTTACTAATTAATATTTTAAGGACGTACATCCTAGATAGATATCTAGTCTGATTAATTTTAATATTTTAATACTTATTAATATTTATCATAGTTAATTAAAATAATAATCTGATCTTTTCGTTCACTGGCGTTGCTACAATTACTGTATTCCTTCTGTTATATCTTTAATTATTCCTGCTTGTTCGTAATACATTTTTTTTTCTTTTACAGTAATCTCGTTACACGCATACTTTCAAATTTTATCTCTCGTTAGTTATGTTAATCAGAATCAACCCCCGTCGCATGAAACGCGTCGAAGAACACTGCGATATCGATCTATCACATATGATATACCGATGGAGCAAAATTACTGGGTACAATTACGTATCTAGCACGAGGAAATGGAACGGACAGAGGCCGCAAGACCGTCGCGTCGATGCAAAAATAATCGGCCTCTTTCTCTTCCGGCCATCTGTTTCGCGTTACGGCAACGTCTGCCACTTGGAATCGCGGCTTTTCCCCCGAGGACACGGCGCGAGCCAACGAAAAAGGTCGAAAGAAACAAGGGAAAAAGGTTAAGTTAAACTCCACCGAGAAGACGGCACTTTTTTATCGCGAGCGCAGAACGAGAACGAGAACGCTCGACGGTGCTCGAGAGCAACATGCACAACATGTAATACGAGTTAATGAATAATAATAAAACTGACATAATCGTGATTGATAAAAACGAATGAAAATAACCTAATTGCAAACCTAACCTAAACCAACTCGTATTTCAACTCTTGATATTAAAATTGGCAGAGTCTAAAAAAAATTTTATCACTTGTTGCAACACCATCCTCTTGGATAAAAATAACTAACGTGAATCGTGCAAGATACAAATAACAATATCCAATACTTCAATTTCACTTACACATATCCCAACTTTCTCTCTCTCTCTCTCTCTCTCTCTCTCTCTCTAAGTATTAAAATTAACACTATCTATCTACCTAAAAAAAAAATCATTCCGCGTGTTTCAACAAATCCATTCGCCCGGGATGGAGAAAAAAATATTTGCAAAATCGGAAAGCAATTCGCGATGGCGTCGATCGGACACAATGAAATATACGAATAAACAATCTATCAGCAGAGAGTTTCGCGTGGACGTTTGTTTCACGATTGAATTGTATTCGATCAGAATCGATTTATTTAACTCGCCGAGCAACAGCCTGTCGCGTCCAGGCGTCCCTCCTTCTTTCTCTCCCCTTTCGCGTCTATCCGCGACTGCGGAGCCTTAATGAGCGTGATAATGAAAGCGGACTCGTTAACACTCCTCAAACGATGGTTACACAATTGAGCGCTGGCCGGCCGGTTTCTGGCCAGTTTCGAGGCCCTTTTGATGGACTTACGTACTTCTGTGTTCTTGTGTGGCTCGGCAGATTCGATTTCGTCGATTCGACGCAGCAACGCGTGCCTGGCAAACGACGCTAATTTGAATTAACCCGCGGCAACCGCCGGCTTCCGGTTGAAATCATACTCCGGCAGGCGGCGTGTCTAATTGGTCGGAGCTGCGTTCCGATGGAAACTTTGTCGTTTCCAAATGGAAACCCAGGTCGAACTTCAACTAGTTACTTTCTAATTGGCGGCGAGTAATTGGCGACAGTGACGAGCACGATTCGACGACGGATATGACTGTGAGAAGGAAAATGATATTATTCCCCGTGGGGAATGTACGAGTTCAGAATTTTTTACATATTTTTTTCATATACTTTTACGAAGATAATTGACGAAGAAGCAAAGGAACTGCGTGTGTAGGAAAACATGGGGGGGAAATGCATCGTTCATGATTAGATTTAATTACAACGTTAGATAATAAATAATATTATAGATGTTCAAACTTCCTGGGTTTTCATGCGACTGCGACACGACGATAAGAAAATATTAACCAAGGTCCATCCAACCAAAAATAAAAATTGATGGTAAAATGAAAAAGAATTGTGAACAAAACTTTGCGACGTGTTGAGGATCTTTCGCGTAACGTATATATTTCTGAAACTGAATAATAATTAGGATGTAGCACGAGTTCAACTATAATTATATCGACTACAACTATAGACATCGTAATTTAGAAATCGTGGCAAGTGGTTTTCATCTGCGCAAATGAAAACCAGTCCGGACATTGAAAATGCTTTTTACGCCCGGTGCACGCAACAGAGTCTCGGCCAGGGAAATGTTGTAACCAACCCCTTATTGATTTCTCCCCTGTCGGCAGAGGTGTAAGTTTGAGTTTCGAAGAAAACCACGTGCAGCCGCTAGCGTGTTCCCTCGGTAAAATAAGAGCGACAAATCGATGCACGAGCAATTTATCGTCTGACGGTGCGGCGCGTTTAAACGTCGCGGGATCCTGGCGAAACGAGTCCGCGATTGATCGCCTACTATCGAGCAAAAGTGGTTCCGCACCGTCTAATTTCGTTAACTTCTTGGAACGAATGGAAACTCTAGGCTTCTATTCCTCATTTTATTTTATTCCACTGTGATCGATGATGAAGATGGGATTGGTTTGGCAGGGGATGATCGGAGGAAAAATTAAGATCGATCATTGCAATCATGTTATTTTGTGATAAGAGGAAGGTAGTTTCAATATTAATAATGGCATTCCAAGGAAAGTATGGATCTACTTTTTCTAAAGACTTATACCCTGGGGGGATCACAAGTTATTTTTACTAAAATGCTGTACTTGCAGGCTTAATATTATTTATAACTATAAATTTATAGTTACAGAAATATATAAAAATTAAAGTTGAACCACATGATCTTTACGTATTTAATTATTTCCTGAATTTATTTCGTAAATTTCAACGGCAGCCAACAACGAAAATTGGAGAATAATATTCCCTGCTCGGCCAAGCTTGAAAAACATTGTCACAAATAATACATATTTCATCAGCAAACGTGGCCGCGTGTTTTTGTTTTTAAAAAAAAGAATATTAAATTCGCTGCGAAAGCTGAAAGATTGGTGGCAAATATTTGATTATCTTGAACGCAAAGGGAAAATGACAAATTGCCGATGAAAATTCCGCGAGATAAGGTAAACAAGTTTCCAGCGAGATCACACCGCGATTTCCACATTTCTTGCAGATTTCCCAGAAGCCACGGAGTGAAAATTCTCCCGGTTTCGTTTTGGTTTGGTTCGAGAGTCGCGTCAATATTCCAGGCACTTTGCAAAAATTTCCATTACTCTTCCCCTTTGTTTTTCCTGTAAATGTTTGGCCGATCGATCGTGAAAACCTTTTGCAACGCGTGCCGCTAGACGACCACCCCGTCATTCTAAACGTTCAACCATAACATAACTTTCACAGAATTTAGATTGTCGTGCCATTGTTCCACGATTTTTATCTGATCTTTTATTTCGTCCAGAATCATTGGATATTGACGAGAAAAAAAATACAATCAATAATTACATTAATTCTCTGAAAAATATTGGATAATCGTATATATATTAGACTCAATTAAATAATTAATCAACGATGTGTGATCTTTCCCATTTTCTTTGGTATTCTTTGATATTTTTTTTATAGATTATTTTGTGAAACCATTCATCTCTGTTTTATAAAATCTTTATTACGAAAATAGCTGTGAATTCAGGAATTTGTTTAACAAAATCGCGTTATTGATGGAATGAAATTTGCTGATAGAGACATTAAATAAATGATCATCAATAAATATTTTAAGCTTTGGACTTTGAGCTTCTAATAAAATGTCCTTCCAATTTTCTTCTTTTTTCCATTTTACATTTTAACTTAATATTTTAATTAATCTGTGGCCTGTAAATCTCTTCATTTTATAGAAAATCTCTTTCTTTATGGCTATTTTTAATCTCGTCTCTAACACTCTACATTCTTTAACTTTCTAATAAAAAGGAAGAAAGTAATGGAAAATAATAAAGAAAAGCTCCAAACGAAACAGAAGAAATTTCAAAGAAATTCTATAAAAGAAGATGCAAAGAACAAAAGAGCTCCAAAATTTGTAAAAAAAGAAAAGACAAAATTCGCGGTAATTTAGAAGAATTTAATTTATTATCTTAATTTATAAGAATTCTGGTATTCTGTCTAACTTAATTTAATGATAAAGGATCTATTTAAAAAAAGAGGAAAACAGTGAAAAAGAAATCTTCTATAAAAAAGAAGACACGAAGAACAAAAAAATCTTCGAAAAATTCTGAAAAAGAAGAAACATAAAATTCACACAAGGATTTTGATACCTTACTAGTTTCATTAGGTTAGGTTTAAAAAGCAACCCCCCTCGAAACAAACCAGTGATAAAAACCAGAGAACTTCTAAAAAAAGAAAAAGATATAAAATTCGCAATAATTTAGAAAAATTTTAGTACCCTGGTAACTCCGTTGAAAAGAGAAAAAAGAACCACGAAAGATATATAGATAGATAGATAGATAGATAGAGAATAACGCCTCGAGGAGATCGAGGAGACAGTTTCTCGCAGAGCGTCGAAGAACGAAGAACCGAAGATCTTCGGTTCCCGGGCTGCGGATGCTCGCTAATCAAATAGAAATTGAATTTCCATTAATAATAGGCCGCAGCGTAGTAACGTGATTTCCGGCCATATTGAGCGAGCTTGGCAGGCGCGCGAGAACGATAAAGCTTTTGTCTTGGAGGATAGGAGGCCGTGTTCTCGCCACGGATCCAGCAAATGGGATTAAAACGATAGAACACGTTCCCCGCCCGCCCTTAAGGATCCCGTTAATCCTGCTTACCCCCTCGGAATTTTCTGTTTACACGTGTACTCCCTCCTCCCCACTCGATCTTGCTGAAATTACTTTCTCGGAATTTAATACTGCAGTCTGTCTTGCAGGTTGCAAATGACGTCAAGACACCAGACTCAACAACAGAGAATTTGGATTTCCCATTAAATTATGGACTATTTCCATTATTGCGGTGGTGTTCTTTTTTCAAGGAAATCAAAAGTGCGGAACTCAGAGAATGCGAATGATGTTTAAGACTGTACGAAATTATTCTTAAAATTATGAGACACTGAAAGAGATATTGGGACAAGTTTAAAATCGTTCAAAGCGTGGCATGCATCATGTCTTCCAATTTTTCAATTACGCTTCCACAAAAATATGGATTTGCATTGTCAATCTTTTGAACATAATGATCTCTTCATGCCTACAATTGTAGAATTCACAAGAGTAAATCTCGTCATCAACTTTTATTTTTAATTTTCAATTTATAATGGCATAATCATATATATAATTGGCATGTAATTATATATTTCAAAAGAAAAACGAATGATATATATATATATATATATATATATATATAT